TAATAAATTAATGCATGTCACAGACCTATACATCATTACACTTTTTAATACTTTATGACTTATCATTGAATATAATATTCTTGCAATAGAAAAAGAGCAAAAATTGCAAGAACATTGCACGACAACAATTTATATTCATACAGAATAAAAATCTAAGCCTAGTCTACATAACATGGTTTTACATCATCTGATACCTTGATTTTACACCTTTGCGTTACCTGGAGTTCAAAGCTAGAATTGAAAACCAAAAAAAATATTTATGAACCCTACAAATATTTATGAACTTGACTTTCAGCAGCTTGAATGGAATTAGTAAACAAAGTTTCTATTTGCAGGACTGGGGCCCCTGGTAAATTTATTTACTGAATCCCCTTGTTTCTAAACACTCGACCTCACTGACTTGAATTTTTTTTCAAGACAGTTTAGCTTACATTAGGATCTTGTATGTGAAATATGAAGTAGTGTGGTTTTGGCATTTTGGGCAGAGTTAAACTCTGCTATATAAACTTCATTCTATTGTTAAAGCTAACTATTACCTTTATTTGCAATAGATTTTAGTATGCTTCAAACAATTAAGAATTGCAAATGGAAGGAATTTATTTTTTTGTATCTTTGTTGTAGGGCCCAAACACAAAAATGTCCTGAAAATCCAGGTAAGTGTGTACTGGCAGATAGTCTGTAACAAAAAGTGTTTAAAAATATTAAAATATTAAGTTAATCCTTGCAGGGCAGAAGGAATGGGGGGGAGGGTGACCCAAAACAACAAACAGGAAAAGATGAGAGCACGAAGAGGTTGCAAAAAGAATATACTGCAGTTACAGGAGAACAAGTAAGAAAAAATATTTTTAAAATAGAAAAGATGGTGAAAGGCAAAAGCAGAGATATTTACATGAGCATATCCAAACTGTCTTACTTTAACCCAATACATAGTATCAGTGCTTATATATTTCTGTTCCAACATCTCTGTCCCCTGCCCTTACTCCTAGCAGCACCCTATATTAGAGAGGTAAGAATCTAGATGTCCGCTGTGTTCTGAATTTTTATTTTAATTATTTTCTTAATAGGCCATGAGAACTTAAAACTTCTGCAAGTTACCATGTTCCCCCAGTCCTACTGAAATTAAAAAATCTCTTGATATGAAAGCTAAAATAGTATTAAACAAAGAGATAAGAAGTCTGTGCTCATTCTGAAAGCATTCTACTTCAAATTTTATTTATCTGTAAGTGTAGGACAAACTTGAAGTGACAGCACATATATCATCTCATACAAGGGTAGCTATACTCTTAGTTTTGAATCAGAATGTTATTTGTAGTACCTTTCATGACTGCCTGCCTGCCTTTGAAAGACCTACCTTGTTCCTGTGACATGGTATTGTGGTTCAGAACTGATCTAGGATGCGTTGTGTCCTTTTTGACAAGTTACATCTTGATGGTTTGAAGTTGTACATGCTAAGAAGCCTGTGGTTATGCTTCTTATTGCAGGATACAGTCAAGAAGATGGTGGCTGGTCTTCATTTGTGAGTATCAGGATTAACAAAACCTACTGGTTGAATGGATTATCTCTTCTGTAAGGTCTATCATTTCTTGCATTATCTACTTTGGGCAGCATGGATGGTGTGAGCAATGGCAGGGGGTGTCAGGGGGTGTTGGGATGAGGAGAAAGAGAAGCAGGAGCATGAATAATTGAAGTAGCTGCATACAAATTTCTTCACTGAGAAAAAGGTCTCCCCTGGTAATGCAAGGCAGAACTGGTTCAAGTTGAAGCTCACAGCCTATGACCAGGTCTCCCCAGAACCTTAGCTGAATTTTATGTACCTATTTCCAATTCTTAAAAGAGGTGGCTAGTAAAGGAAATCTTGCTATGTTATTCAATGGCAAATTCTTGCCAATTTATTCTCTAGAGTTGACTTGTTGAAGAATCTAGTTTTTTGCAGCCAACTAGACTGCAAAAGTTCCTTTTGCCTTTCGGCATAGAAAAAACATTGGGAAATGTCATTAGATGAAGCACACACAACTCAGCTAGCTAAATGAATAAGCTGACTGATGCACAGTCCAAGTTTATGAAGATCTCTTACATTGACCAGTGCCAATGTTTCTTTGCAAAAAATGGAGAGGGATTTTTTAAAAACCACTTGCTACTAAGTTTGCAAGAGATTTGCTGCTATTTTAGGAGCACAAAAGGTAAAAGTAGCCACCTATAGAGAACCTGGACTCTATGCCAATAGAGAGTTAGTCTGCAAATTTCAGCCAAGATACCAATGACAAATTGAGTATTCTTTTTCTTGTAAGCCTTGGCAGATTGCATAGAAGATGTGTGCAATGACCACTGCCATATTTTCACTGTGATTTTACTAGGTCTTGCAAGTTGTATGAAGCTTGTTTTTGTTCTGGTCAGTGGAGGGCACCAAGACCCATATCAAAGACCTTATTTTTTCTGAAGCATTTTTAAAAAGTTGAGTTGCAGGCTGTAGAGTACATGCTATTAAGTAAGAATGAATATCAACAGGCATCAGCTGCTGCTCCAGTGTTTCTAGGAAGCACTGAATTGTTTGCTGGCTCCTTGTCTGTTACCTAAAGAAAAGGCACTGTGCATTTCAAGAAGCTATTGCCTTATCTTGACCTTCCACTGCAGTTACTGTTATAAAATGGTACTTGTTTCCTTTCTTAAGATGTTGAGTGCTGTATGCATTAATAAAATGCTGCCTCCTTTTCCCATTTTCCTTCAAAAGAGGATTTTTTCACTCAAACTGCTTGTAAAAACTTGATATCCTCTAGAGTGAAAAATACCACAGTGAAAGGCCACAAGGAAATTGCACTGCAGCATTCAGTATCCTGTTATATTATCCATCTTTTATGTACATTTGCCAGGATGAAGATGATGACTATGAAAGCCCTGATGATGACCAGGAAAAGGAAGATGAGGCTGACTATGAATCACCAACAGAAGAACCTGAGGAAGCAGAACATGATAGTGATGGCTATGAGCCACCTCCATCCAATAATGATGAAGCACACCACAATGTCATATTTCCTGCCAAGTCACTTGCAAACAACACAGATTATATAGGTAATTACTAAAAATTAAGTGTTATTAATAATTTGTAAATGATATTTTCACACATTATCAGCCACAATGTATCTGGTAATGGTCTATAGAAGTTTTTCCTTTAAGATAACAGTATACTTCATGAACAAGATTTAGTGACACAGACTTACTGCATGTTGGTGGCTTTGTGACTTCTAAAGCTAAATTTTCTACTTCAGAGTAGCTCTGTTGGATTAAAGATTAGTTTTGTGTGATGTGTGCATTATTTGGCCTTTGGTTTGAATCTGCATGAAGTTAAACATATGTGCATACTGTATTAGCTTTAGTAGTGCAACCCCGAACAGAGCAAGTTGTCACAACAGTGGCAAAAAACTCTAGTGAAAATTGAGAAAAGAAAGAGAGTGGCTTTCGCTGATTGTCATTTCTTTATGTCTGATTCTTCAGCAGCAGTTGTGGAGTGTCCTGGTTTCGGCTGGGATAGAGTTAATTTTCTTCCTAGCAGCAGGCATAGTGCTGTGGTTTGGATTTAGTAGGAGAAGAATGTTGATAACATGCTGATGTTTTTAGTTGTTGCTGAGTACTGCTTATGCTAGTCAAGGACTTTTTCAGCTTCCCATGCTCTGCCAGGCGCACAAGAAGCTGGGAGGGGGCACAGCCAGAATAGTTGATCCAAACTGCCCAAAGGGCTATTCCATACCATGTGACGTCATGCTCAGTATATAAACTGGAGGGGGGTGGCCGGGGAGCAGCGATCGCTGCTCGGGAACTGTCTGGGTATCGGTCGGCGGGTGGTGAGCAATTGCATTGTGCATCACTTGCTTTGTATATCATTATTATTATTATCATTATTATACTGTTACTATTAGCATTACTATTTTACTTTATTTCAATTACTAAACTGCTCTTATCTCAACCCAGGAGTGTTTCTCACTCTTACTCCTCCGATTCTCTCCCCCATCCCATCGGGGTAGGGGGAGTGAGCGAGCGGCTGCGTGGTGCTTAGTTGCTGGCTGGGGCTGAACCACGACATGGAGTCAAATACAGGAGTACAAAACTGCCCTTTAGACTGACTGGTGTTTCACAGTCATCGTACTGCAGTGAATGAAAACAAATAGTGTGGGCCAACAAACTAGCAGATGGAGTCACCTCACCGCCAAAGGCTCCCACAACAACACTGATCATAAAGCAACTGTCCATTATATACTAAAATAATGTCTTTATGATATATTAATTTAGGTATGCAGGTTATTGCAAAGGCTCTTTTTCATAAACTGCTAATGAGAATAAAATAACCAAACTGTTTGTGTAGTTGTTTAGTTCTGGATTTTTGTTTTCTTTAGACAGACCTCCAACAACTAGATCATCACATCAGCCTCCAGTACCACCCCAGCGACCTGGCCCATCCCCAGTACCAGCCTCATTTGGGGGAAGAGGTGCTTCTGTATGTTTCTTTCTTAATTATTCACTTATTTCCCTTGCTAGTACCTTCTTAGAAGTCCAAGTGTAATGCTGTTTTTATTCACATAGTGTATGTGGAGGAAGAATTTCAGCCATCAAAATAGGTTTGAACTCTGTTACAGGGTGGTAATTTTTTCATTGAACAATTAAATTTCATGGGACAAATATATTAAATTATTTCACATTATTTGCTATTTCTTACACTGGAAATTTGTACCCACCTGTGAATGCCTCTCTCATACAAATTACAGATTTCTAATAGATCCTTCTTTGTTTCTTTAGTGATATTTGTAAAAACAAAAAAAGGCTAAGTCTTTCCAAGCTATATTGCTAGCAATTGTCCAATTCAATTAAGACCATATGAAAGTATAAGGGACTGTATAATGAGAACCCTGATGACCCAGATTTTTTTCCTTTCTTTTGTCCTGTGAACACTTCAAAACTGAAAGCTACTGTGCTGTTTACAACTGGCACTACAGGTTCACTGTATGCCAGAACAGAGGTACATTAGACCTATCCATGTACACAAATAAAGGTTATTTTAGGATTTGATAGAAGTACTTTTGGTCTGATCCAGTGTTCATAGTTCATATATATAAAACACACAGGATTCTTAGGTGTCATGAGTTCTCAAGACTGCTGTCCTAAATTGCTGCTCTGTTTTTTTGGAATAAGAATGAACATTGGAAGGCATTTGTCTGGAGAAATCTAGGTTTAGATGCAATCATCTCTTGCAGCTGCTGACAAACGATGCTGTTTGACCCCCGCTCTCCCAGTAACAAAGAACAGTCCTCTCTCCCCCTGCCTCAGTCAGCAACAGGCAGTAACACAGACTTAATACCTATTTCTCAACTTCAAATTTACATCCACTAGTTTCAATACCAGTTTTCAAAACTAACACCTGTCCTATTGAAGGGGCAAAGATACAACAGCATTATTGAAGCTCCTGTTTCTTTCCTTTGACGATACTCATGCCCTCCCCAAAGACAACATCCCATTAGAGCATTCCTTGTGAGACAAAAGAGATGGAGGCAATTCTGCATCTAACAAAACCCCATGTATGTAGGTCATTCTTCAGGAGTGCTAATGGCTCCTATCCTTCCTGCACTGAGCAGAGACAAAGATTGGCAGATGTGGTGTGGTGGGGTTAATATACTAAAATTAAACCAGAAAGGTGTAGACACAGTTTAACCACATGTAAAATATTTGTTTTAGCTACCAGCTTTTCCTCCTCCACCAAGCAACAATGACTTGAGTAGAGACAGAAATACCAAGCCTTTGAAACGTAAGTACAGCTGGTTTTCTCTTTGTAAAGCTTTTCCCACGGGCTATATACCACTTCACTTTTGCCTGTATCTCCTCAGTTCCACTCTCTTCTACTACCTATACAGAAGCCTTGATCTTTATTCTAAGAAGTAACACTAGTTCATGGCTATATAAAATAAAGATATATTGACCTATACTAGCGAATTATCTTACACAGATTTTGTGTTTAGCCCCAGCTCCTTCTATAGACAGAAGCACAAAACCCCCACTGGATCGCCTTGCTCCACCATTTGAAAGAGAAAGCCCAGTATCAGGTCAGTATTTGCCTATGCTAATATCAATGGGGTTCTTTTAATTATTCAAATTATCAGTTTGAATATCATTCATTCAAAAGAACAAGTCTCAACTAAACGTACTGTAATCCAATCACATACAAGGTGATCTGTTTATGAATAAATAATATAAACAGTACTTACAAAGTGAGAGGAATTATCTCTAGAAAGTAGCAACCCCAGACCAGGACTAGTTGAACAGAAAGACATTATGAGATCCCTGTGCAATAAAGGTTTGATGTAAAACTTAAATGAATGAACAAGGAAATGTTTAGTAGGTTAAAAGAGGAAATAACTTTTGCATACAAAGCTAATGAAACTCTGCATACACTGCATACATATGTAATGTGACACCCAGACTTAAAAGAATGCTGAGAACTGAAAAAACAGAAAAAAAGGCATTTGTTTCAGACCTGAAAACCGTATCTTACAAAGAATCTAAAGAGACTACGCTATGATTTTTATTTATTAGCTAAACACTTTCATCTGTTATGTAATATCATAAAAGTATCCAGTAACTCAAAGCTGAACCATAGAAAGTATGATTGTAAAACACACCACTTTGAAAATTTTTAAATTTTCCTTTAGTAGGAGATACTGCAATTTTGCTGTCTCTTGCAAAGCCAAAATATTTTTCTGGCTTACATCTCAGGAGGCTGAGTGCTTCAATCTGCAAAATTCACTTTCAATGATATGCAAACCTTGTTTGTTTCATAGAAAGTTTAATTAATTATCTTAACTTTCATTTTTTCTAAATGTAAGCTTTCACTATTTTCAGGGAGGAAGCCAGGCTTTCCTGAAAAGGTAGGGTCTCTTTTGTTCTGTGCTTGTTGATGTTTTTCACCTATTTTGATACGCTTACACATTCACTTAACTATTCCTTGTTTTTTTACAGCCTTTGACTTCACAGCTAAGGTAAGAATTTTGCCTCTGGAAATGAGACTCTCAATGCCAGTATTACCCAGTAATTAGTAAGCAGCTTTTTGCCTTTATTTCATCATCTTGCTCCTGATTTAGATCCCTGGGGGAACAGCTAGCAATGATGCCAAAACCTCCTGTCCCACCAAGTGACAGATATGAAAGAGGCAATCCATCTCCTCTAAGGAAGCAAACCCCTGTAAAGTAAGTGTTCATTTAATTGAAATTTAGTAAAGGATAAATCAAATTTAACAAAAATATGGATAAGCAACACAGGATAGTATAATTTACTGCTATTGCATGACTGCAGTGTCTGCGGATATCAAAATTTTGCTTTATGAATATGCATGGGATGTGCTGTAAGCTACAGAAAAGTGTGAATGCAGAAAAAGCTCTCTCTCCAGTCATATCTGAAACAGCCATTACGTAGGTCATGACTCAGTTCCAAGTTGCGCCAAGAAATATATGATCCATGTTTTTTCCACCAGATCAAGTTCTTGCTCTAGGGAACATTCTTTCATGAGTTCTATCACTTTTTTTTTTTTTTTAAAGGATGTTAGAAAAAGAAAGCTTTACTTTCATACCATTGATTTTATTAGCCTGCAAAACTCCTCCTTAATGGCAAACAGCATTCTCTAGCAGAACTAGATCATTCTCTAGCATTTTCTAGATAACTTGTGGGCTGAACAGTGTGACTGATCTTAGAACAAAATGAGAAAGTAATTGAGACCTGCTAATCAGCCAGGATAGTTCATCAGAGAAACAAAGACTAGAAGGCTTATCATGTGCTCCAGCAATGTTGCTAAGTACTATAAATGAGTTCCAGACTTGAAGTCTAATATTTCATCACTGTAAAAACTTGTTTTAAGCTCTAATTTTATAATCAATTCATCAGACATTTTCCTTGTTGATAGAATCAAGATGGGCTAAGGACCAGCATAATGACTTAGATTATGGCTGAAAATTAGAATCTTAGCTGTTTTTATGATGAAAAAATATTGCTGCATTCATTGGGTCTGTAAAACTTACTATGAATTCATGTCTTAGTTGAAAATATGGCCTAATGCACACAAAGTGAGTGAGTAATATTCCACCTATGATTCATGCCTTGTTTTCTCTGTTTCATTCAGGCAGGGTTGGCCACCACACAAAAAAATTGAAGTAAGTATAGTCTCAAAGCAAATATTTAAAGGTATAGGGACTACAATAAAATGAAGTACCTGTATAAACTAATAATTCTGGAAAAGGTAAACTCGTTTCTTTTATCAGTTATAATGAATGCTCATGGATCTTTCATAGCATATGGTTTCTTTTTAAACAGTTCTTCTGTGTCAAGCTCAGTTTATTCCCTGAGTTTTTTATCTTAGATAACAGCAAGAATAAGGCCAGAATTTTTTTTATGATATGGGAGAAGTGATTTTGCTTACACTACGTTTTGGGGTTTGGGGTTTTTTTTCAGCTTAAGCTGACCTAAGGATTTCACTTTCAGATAACTCTGAGAGCCTACACTTATTGAAGAGGAAAGTTTACATCTGCTGAGAGTTTCTGACTATTTTGGGTCAAGATCCATTATGGGATATCTACCTCATAGCTTATTTGTAAATAATAGCTGCACCTTAATGCAAGAACTTTAAAAATTATTTGGTGTTGCATGAAGATAGAAACCCCAGCATTTTAGATGAAAGGGACACTATAGATATTAGAGTCCTTGTGTACTCAAAATTCACCAACTTCTAGGTTTTTGTTTTGTAAAATATTCCTAAGAATATGTTGCTAATGTTTGTTTTCTTCTGGCTCCCCAGGAAGAAGACGACAGTAAGTATTTCTACACTGATTTTCAAAACTTAAAGTCGTTCTTTGTCTTAGTTCTAAAGAAGAAAATAAAGATTGCAGAGTTGTTTCTTTAGAGCCATATCAAAAAGTCAGGTGGTATCCTGACAGGTTATAGAATGCTTATGAAGTACCTCATGCAGATTTAGATATCAAAGCCACAAAACACAGGAAATCAATAGCTAATAGCTTCCTTCAGTCAGCCAGTTACAAGACAGGAGGGTTTCTTAGTTTGAAACACATTACATTTTAGAGAATTGTGATCTACACACAGCATCAAACAGCTAGGCATGCAAACCTGATATTCTCCCAGTTTTCAACAAAATGTTCAGTCAAACCCTGCTGGTACTAGTCTTCTGTGTAATGTTATTTACTCTAACAAACAGAAGCAGAACTTGTTTCATGTAGTAATAGTATTTATAAATTACTTCAGAATCCTGGTTCCTAAAATTAAGTTGGTAAAGTGACACCATAACGGAAGCAGAACATTAGGCCAAGTCTCTACACATTATCACTGCCTCTAAGACTCCATAAAGAATAGGGCTATTTAAGCTGTGCAGAGCGCAGTTAATCTGTTCCTCTCTTACCAGTAGTTAATCTGTTCCTCTCTTACCAGTAGTTGAGGTCTGAGGACACTGCAGAAAGAAAATGTTTTACTTTATGCTGTTGTTTATGATGATATGGGAGAAATCTCACAAAGGCATGAAGTTCAAAAGGGTAACTTCAAATCCACTATTTAGAAGCAACATAAGAGAGAACACAGGATTATGCACCACCTTCATCTACTGCAGTTAAGGTATCTGAATTGTGGCTTATCCAAAACAGAAGTTAGAAAATTAAAATGTTGCTCAAGCCTGTTCCAGTTTATTTTTAATTTTAATACTTAATTTTAAATTCTCAGTTGACCATATGAATTTACAATCTCTAACTAACATATCAAGGACGTTTTATAGAACAGTTTACTCCATTATGTTTATCTAATTAAACAGCAGTAATGTGACAACATTTCTTTATTCTACCTCATTTAAGAGTGTCTCATAAGTTTTAAGTTTCCTTTTCTTCCTTTCTGCAGCTGCACCCCAGAGACCAGTGCCACAGCTATCTTTGCCCCCATACAGCTCCAATACATTCCCATCCAAATCTGTCAAGCCTCCACCTAAGCCAGGATCCAACAGCATGCCTGGTGCAGAAAGGTTTGTTTCACCCATTATTGTGTCATTCCTTTTGAATCTCAATCTCTTTGCAATTTAGCAAATAATAGTATGCATGTGGCTACAGGGCTCTCAGGTGAACACAAGGTAACTACTTGAAGTATCCCATTGTTTTTCAGGCTATACCCTTGCTTCTACTAGATGCTAGTTTGTGTTGTTCCTACTATCAAGGAGAATCCTTCATACAATTGAAGCTCTGTATTCAGTGAAGCAGATAGTGTACATCAGGCAAGCAAGAAAAAATGCAAATCTCTCAGTTTTATGTCAAGGAAGTATTTTAAGGCCTACATGGTACAATGCTTCCATTCTTGAGACATCTCTCCCGTTGCCTGCAGGATCTGTAAGAATGACAAGCCCTTTTGGGAAGGGATCATCTTGTCCTACAAAACTATGCAGGATGTAGGTCAAGGAGGTCATTTAAAAGGATTCTGCACACTCTAGGAGCCTGAGTGCTAGAACTACGACTACATATTGCTGCAAAAGTAAAAAAAACCCACAACCTTAGCTGTCTAGAGTTGAATCTGAAATAATTTTACCACCCTTCTACTAAATTTTACTCTAATGGTTAATAATTCCTACTTAAAATGGTGAACCTTGCTTCAGCTATGATTTTTTCTAGCTTCAATTTCCAAATATTGGATTGTTATGTCTTCATTTGCTAGATGGAAGAGCCCTTTATTAAATTTTTATTTCTGATGTAGTGTGCAACAGACTTAGCCTTTGATGAGTTGGAGTGGGCTCCTTGAGTCTAAGTCTGAAGTACATTTTCTAATCTCTGTATTTTTTGAATGGCTCTTTGATGAATTCCTCCCATTTACCATCATCCTCTGGAACTGCTGACACCCCAGTAGAACAAATATTGCAGTAGCAATAGCAAGGTCATATGCAAATATGAACTATTCCTATGATGAACAATTCTGCTTATATTCAAACAGCGTTGCCAAATTTTGCTATAGCAGAGGCCCCCATTTGGCTGATTCTCTCCCATGAATCACAAGTCATGATAGGGTGTTTTTGTTCTGCAAACATAATTAACATATTAATCCCAGAGCTTTTTGTACAGTTCATTTAAGCAGAAGAAAAATATGAACTGTAAAGGAAAACCATGTAGGCAGTTTGCTCCCAATTAGGTGAAGAAATTAAAAAAAAAAAAAAAATTGAAGACTGGGACTCTTCATTTTGAGAAGTTTTGGATGTGGGTTCTGGGGTCAGGCCATAAAAGGGAACTGTAGATTTTCTAACAAAAAAGCATAAAAATGAACACAGGAAGGAAAGCATAGGCACATGGAAGTGTTATGGTGCTGTGGGTATGAGCTTTGTGCCACTGTCAGCTCATAGCTCACAGAATCACAGAATGGTTGAGGTTGGCTGGGACCTCTGGATGTCATCTGGTCCAACCCCCCTGCTCAAGCAGGGTCACCTAGAGCAGGCTGCCCAGCACCATGTCCAGATGGCTTTTGAATATCTCCAAGAAGGGAGACTCCACAACATTTCTCAGCAACCTGCTCCAGTGCTCAGTTGTCCTCACAGTAAAAAAGTGTTTCCTGATGTTCAGAGGGAACCTCCTTTGTTTCAGTTTGTGCCCACTGCCTCTGGTCCTGTCACTAGGTACCACTGAAAAGAGCCTGGCTCTCCCTTCAGGAGAGAATATGCATTAATAATATTCTCTCTTGAGCCTTCTCTTTTCCAGGCTAAACAGTTCCAGCTCCCTCAGTCTTTCCTCATATGTGAGATGCTCCAGTCCCTTATCATGTTACTTACCATGCCCTTCACTGGACTGTTTCCAGTAGCTCCACACCCATAGTTGCAACATTAATGATGAGAAACTGCATTTTCATCAACAACGTTATAGAAGCTACAAGAAAAATGGTTTTATAAGTGGAACCCCACAGAAAGAAACATATAGCAAGCTGTTGCCTGTGCTTCCTGCTTTAGGGGAATAAAGTAGTCATTCCCTGTGAAAACTCAACAAGCTGAAGTAGTTTTCTGCATTGGTCCTGATACAGAAGTGTTGGTGGTCCATTACTGATTCCCTCTACCTTATTCCCAGATACTGAGCTTCAAGTAAACTTAATGGTGGATCTACTAACATAAAAAGAAGGAAAGAAAAAAAAAAATAAGAAAGAGAAGGCTATCCTTATCCTCTATAGGTCTCAAGAGGATCTCACAATCTGTAAAACAGGCACAAAGTCCAGATCAGTTCCCCAGGGCACAGAAATGTTGTATAGCAATGTTGTATTTATACTGACTACTTTTTTTTTTTAAAAAACAGTGTGAGAAACCTGTCTTCAAGTGGCTCACTACCACCACGCTTACATCTAGGTTTGTATCCTGCATTCCCGCATTTTTTGTACAAAAAAAGACTGAAGAGGTGGTTTCAGTGCAGTTAATATAATTTTTTTTTTCTGTGGATGTTTCTGGTTGGACTGTGAACAGACAACTATCAAGTTCCTAAAAGGCATCTTATATAACAGTCTGAATCTAGGATTTTTTTTTTCCCATGAAGTTTGGGCTTACTGCCTAGTTAAACCATTGTCAAAACTTCATATAAGCATCTTTTTCAATATAGCTAACATTACTGAGAGCTGAGGAACACTACCTGCAAGTCACTGTTTTATACTAAGACGCTCAAAAAAGGGAGAAAACACTTAACTTGTGAAATATGCTGCAAATTTATTTTGTAATAACAAGTAAAAAATAAAGGAAGCTTAGAAATCAATTGCTTTGCAAGTAATTTTTCGCATATGCTAACAGCTGCCAATGACTTACAGTGACATTTTTTTAGTTTCTACATGCTAAGGCGGCAAGGAATGCAAAGAGATGTTACTTCTGTCTCTAAAGAAACCTGAGATGCTTTAAAAACTAATTGTGGTACAGAAGCTAAAAAGGTGTAACCTTTATTTCAAGTTCATCTGATTTTAAGGAAACCTGAACTGCAACAGTTCAGTTGAAGTCCCTGTGCATCAAGGATGAATTTATGTAGAGAAGCTGGTTCTCATACAGTAGCCTAAATCTGATTTCAAATCAATTCAAAATGTCTCAGTATCAGAGTGATATAAATTCTTCATGCCTCATTAAATCAAGATTGTACACCCTGTATGCACACCACAGATGAAATAATTTTCCTGATTTTAACATTTTTTCTATTTTTGTATCTTTGAAGGCAACAACAGCAGATCTCCTTCAAGAGGCACAGACATAAGACCTCCATTGCCAATTCCTAGCAGACAGACTGTTCCCCAAACAAACGTGGAGGTAGATGAGGTACAAAACATTACAAGTATTAACCATAACTGCTAAACACAGCAAATTTTCTGATTTTGAGAGAGAGAACATTTTTCAAAGTTGTTTTTCTAGTTAGCAGTCACCGTCAGGATGTTAGTAGGTGCTTTCAGTTTCCTTTTCTGTGTCAAACCTTAGTGCCTTATTTTGTCTTCACCAAAAAAACCCCAACAATAGCAAAAACACATTAGAACAAAATGAGAAAAATACTTGTTTGCTGGATTACTTGTTTTGCACAATTGCCTTCAACTAGCATTACATATTCGGTTCTCCTTCCACAAAACCTTGGTGAGTAAAGAATTCATACCCTTTACGTGCATTTCTGTTTCACATTTATTTAAATATGACAAGTTCAGAGCAAACAACTCCTGGTGATAATGCTGCTGGGCAACCATACATGGTATGTTTACAGGAAGTCTGCATTATTGTCTCAGATGATAGTTAAAAAAGAAAAAATACAATAATTTAAAAAAAAAAAAACCAAACAGAGAAATGAAGGCAAAGGATGCTAGTGTCCCAGGCAGACAAAAGAGAAAATGTCACTTATAATCTATCTTTCGCTGAAAATATTTGGAAGTGTCTGTTTTCCTAGCTTACTTGCAGACATATATCTAGGTCTATAATATTTTCAAATTTATCAAAGTAAGCAAATAATTTTAAAATCATTTAGTGCCACTTACCATACAGTAATATATACTAGTATGATCCCTGAAGCTCATACCTTCAGAGATTCTACACATAAACCCAAATATCCCTCACATTCAAATTTCCCTCTACTGATTTGTATGTTGTTCACAGCACAAGCTAATTAATTGCCAGCTGACTTTCTCCTTTATCCTCTCTCACAAAAAACATAGGACTCACTAAATGATGAATGGTATGTTGCTTATGTTAGCCGGCCAGAAGCAGAAGCAGCTCTTCGAAAAATAAACAAGGTACTCTTTAAATCATTAGTGATTCTCACCATCTCCTAGCTAGATGTCCTTGCAGTCATATGGGAAGAGTGAAGGTAAGTAACACGGTAAGGTTATAGCCCCAATAGAGATACTTAGAGTGAGGGATTCACCTTGAATATCTTTACCCGCATAAAAGTTACACAGCTAGTCTAAACCAGCCATGAAGGCTGTTGTTTTCCATAGTCCGAGAGAACAAATTATGTGCCTCCAGAAAGCAGTTTCACCTCACCTCTCTTAGGAGGAGTGGCTTGTTCTCTGGAAGTAGTTCTCTGTCACCGGTGAGGAATGTGTTGCAGATGCCAAGTTTCAGATAGCTTGAATTAGGTGAGGTGAATCCCACCCTTTTCTAGGCCATATTTAACAGCAAAATGAAGTACAGATTCAAACAGATTGAAACCTAGGCTTAACTGTGCATGTGGAGATAAACCAAATTGTATCCCATCACTGTGGGAAATCTGTTTACTATATCATGCTTCACAGCACATGCAATGAGCTGAAGATGATATGTACAGTATTTCAATGACTTGTACTAAGATCACATTCAATGGCTTTAAGGAAGCATGTTTCAGTGGAAGACTTGTTAAAACAGATCTGAAATAAAGAAAAGCAGAGAGAGAGAGAGACAATTCACTGCCTTTACCAAAATTACACAGACACTATCATTATTTTAGGCTGTCTGTAAATAGATCACATAGAAACCTTGATTGGCACTTACCAGAAATGCACTTCTCTTCTGGTTAAAGTGATGTGAGGTTTGGCCTTTGATATTTACTTCCTCCTTTAATGGAATCTCTCCCTCATAGAACACCTTCCTTCCTTCCCTCCCTAAAAATCTACATTTGTCTCAGACAGGAAAGTTTTAAGTAGCAAATTGAAAGATAAAACATTTGAGAAATGATCTAAACTCTTTAATAGTGCAGTTTCTCTTACCAGGAGGAAAGAGATGTCAGAAAGAAGAAACACTTAAGTGCTCTAGTTAAGGTTGTTATGCTGATCAAACCCAGAAGTGACATTTATTTTGTCATCTTTCCTTTTTTCATCTTTCAGGATGGAACATTCTTGGTAAGAGACAGCTCAAGAAAAACTGTTACTCATCCATATGTACTGATGGTGTTGTACAGAGATAAAGTATACAACATCCAGATTCGTTACCAGGAGCAAAATCACATATACTTGTTAGGAACCGGCCTAAAGGGAAAAGAGGTACTATGTGGTTTTCACACTACTTCCCTTCATCTTTAGGTATCTCCTGTCTCATTCTAAGTGTCAGGTGACTGAACCTGACAGCTGTTTTACTCCAGTGGCATTCTGCTTATTGTCTTAGAATTATTCCTGATAGAATACGTTACTGCTGGAAGTAAAATCAGATTCTCCTGTTTGCACTCAGGGAATGAAGGGATAGCCTTAGAATACAGCTATTGGAAATCCATATACCTGTTTAGGGAATGTTAGTTTACCACTAAGATACCAGATAAGGGAAATATACAGTTGAGAGCAAATCCATACCTGCCAGCTTTACTGCTTTGCTCCCAGACTGTTGGTTTACTTACATCCAGCAGTACTGCGTTGGATTTACTGGCACCAGACAGACCACTCAGCACATGTACTGCGGTTCTGATCAAGTCAGAACTCTCTGAATTTATCAGTCAACTTTTTGAACTTTCAAGTGTGATCATCATGTCAAGCAGAATGACATCATATATTAAACAGGCCGAGACTGCATAAATTAGTTATACAACACTGCAGTAGGTCATACACACACTAGATTAAAAGTTACTGAGCTGCAGATCATAACAGGAATGAAAGCAGCTGATCTGATAGTATTTACTGGACCTTACAAGACTGCTAAATATTTAGAGTTTTTTAAAAAAAAAATTGGTTTTACTAATTACTAGTAATTCTTATATTTTTGCCATAGCCTTCTCATTTTTTCCATCCCACAGGATTTTTCTTCTGTAGCAGATATGATTGATTACTTCCAAAGAACACCTCTTCTTCTGATTGATGGAAAAGACAGAGGTTCAAGAAACCAGTGCGTGTTAAAATATGCTGCAGGACATATTTAACTGAGACCTTAATGAAGATCACATGCAGCACTGAAGCCTACTGAAGTTTTAAAACTTCAGGATATTTTCTTTTTTAGCAAACTAAAATCATGAAGTTATTAAAAATCCTTTTAATTTTAAGGAAAAAGGACAATGTTATTTTTAAATTATGCCTTAAATGCAGTACTCTATAAATAATCTGATTTTCCTACAATGTGTTTATTACTGTCCACTAATTATACAGTACATGAGAATTTTTTTTTTCTTTCAACATATGTGTGTCTTCTTGGAATTATTTCCATGCCAAATTAGAGGACCCATGAAATAAATACCAATAAAGGTCTCTGCTTTCATAGGAGGGGAAAAACAAAAAAAACCACCTATTTTTCAGATCAGAGCTGCAGCAGCAATTATGTTATTTAAAGTGACACAGAGTTGACCCAAACCTTGTCAAAGTTGAAGAGTAGACAAAAGACAATAAAAGCCCAATTTTTTCCCATAATACACTTCCCAATAAATCTAACTATGGCCACTTCTATGAAAAGACTGGGACTCTGACCTGGATCCTAAAGACACCTAGGTTTCAGCAACACCAAAAAAATCCCCTAACCCTGGATATGCAGCTGCTTGTCAAGACCTGTGTCTGTGTTATCGAGCTATGAAACTGTCTTTGTTCACCGTTTTCTAGAAAAATAAAATATCTACAGGTATCATGTTCTCTCTGCCATACCACTGATTCACTGATGGCATGTCTTAGTCCACAAATTGGAATTATGTACCTCCTAGGATCATCTAACTTCACTCAGAGACAAGCTTTTCTCCGTTAACACAGACCTCTCTTTAGCTGTGTCTTTCTGATTCTAAATTAAGCAACTACTTTTTTATAGGAGGTACAATAACAAGATTATGATCATGTGATTCTCAATTGGCAGAACATACCCAAATCTCTTAGAAAGCAGGCAGACACAATCAGGCTAAACTTAGTTCCTCTTATACAACTGCTTTCTGTTTTTACTGTATTTTTTTCAAGAAAAAGAGTAACATTCTCCATTCTAAAAGAAAAGTTGCAACTGAGGACCACTGAAGCATACTATATCAAGAGTTTTTCCCTCTCCTTTGTAAAGTGGGATTTATCCAACTCTTTGCCTCGGTTTTCTGGTAACCTTTGTTTTCTGACAAGAACTTGGTTCGATAATTTAACGTATGTTAGACTTTGTCACATTTTTTATCCTTTAAATCCATTTGTGTGTGTATCACTTGAAACATTTGAACCAAAAGTCAAGGCAGGAAAATATCTTCCATGTAATCTGTATAGCTTCTCAGATAAGATAATCAGATTTCATAAACAGTTTTACTTTAAATATATATGTTTTGTAAATGTTATCTTCCTTTCTAATATATTTAGCTAGGAGCTGGAATTCAATTAGCGAATTTAATTTCCATGCAACTATGAGTCAAAAAAAAGGATTAAAAATAAAAATTTAAAAATTCTTCAGCTGACAAAACCTGTTTCTAGCCCAGTATTTTTTGAAAGCTCACTACTAATCTTGTGAAAGAAAAGTCAGTTATAAAGTATGTCTCTTCAAAAAATGCTAAAATTGAGAGCAACATCTGCCACATTACCACTGATTATGTGAGCTGGAGGTTGTAATTCTATTCCATTGCACTGCCTTTAAAAGTCTGTCAACCCAGAAATACCTCCTATGGAATTATGTTTTATTTCTTTTAAATCATCTCATTAGTGAAAGAGAAATAGAATGTAAACCAGCATAACAAATTATAACACTGCATATTTTCTTCAGCAGAGTAAATCTTGATTTGATTATTCAGATAAATATATTCTGTATATCAATAAAAACACACCTCAACATTCAAACGTGTTCACAAGTAAAGTATGATTTAATATTAATTGTAATGGACTACACGAAAATACTGGCTACTCAAATTTTGGGCCAAGAAGATTTCGATATAGAGAATTTAGACCACAAACTCTTTCTTTCGTAGCTAGGTGCATTAGAAAGTCACTACAGAAAACAGAATGAAAGTACTTTTGGTTTTCCAGAAGTAACTTGCTCTTTGGCCCCCTTCCTCAGCAACATTTTTAGAATGAGGAAGACAGATCAAATGACAAGTTGCAGTTCCTCCTTTACTGTCTGTTTCTTATCCCATTTGCCAGAGCACAACTGAGATAAGAAAGCAATGACTTGACAAGTAGTTTAAAATCTTCTGTTACTGTTCCAATACGTCTTTGTTTAAAGGGATACAACCACATCAGAAAATGTCCAGTTTCCTGACTTTTCTAGTTAAAGATATCAGTCTTTCCAGCCCTAGTGGGCTTAATTTGGGAAATCTCGGTTAAAAAAGATCTTTCAAAATCAATAACCTGCTTATAGCATTTTTCCACTCCACATTTTCAGTTTAAAATAAAAATAGCCTAACTGCAGGAAACCCTACTATCATTTTACAGTTCAAACTGAAGCGGTATTAATAGAAGATGATACATGAAAATGAATGTTATTACTTAATCTGTCAAACTCCAAGTTTTTTCTTCAGCTTTTCTTAAATCTTTGGCCTTCATAGGATGGTTGAAATTCAAAATAAGGTCACAAAGCAGTAGCTGGCTTTCCACTGAAAAACAAAGGGCAATGTATCACCATGGTATTTACTGAATGGTAGATGCCATGTGAATGGCAATTTATTTACAGCACTTTTTGAAGTGTTCATCTATCAACTTTTTAAAAAATTTGAAGGGTTGCCTTGTTTTCTTTACTTCAAGATGGTTAAATAAAGTTTGGCATTAGCACACTGGCAATATTTATATTAGGAGACTATTACTGTCCCTGCAAAGGAATGACTGACTACGTAACAGACTTTTTTTTCTGTGGTTAGCTAACATGATTCCATTTCCATGTAATTACTGTTTCATTAATTTTTCAAAACAAAAGAGCAACTGTATTGTTTCATTAGATTAAAAAACAATGGTATGACATAGAAAACACAAGCCATTCACAACTGCACACTTTTTAAAACAATGCCTTAAACAGCTTCTTGTTTAGTTGGACGATGAACTCAGAATTACCATTTAGTTTCTTCAGCTCATTGGACATTTCATCAATATTTTTAATCGCAGCTTCAAGGTTAAACTGCTGATTAGCAGCAGCATTTTCGAACGCCTGTAGGAAATAGAAACAAAACATAACTGGCAGTGTACATATGATTCATAAACTCAGTAATACAGTTAATCATAACCTTTATGACATTTTTTCTTTGATTTTCTAAAACAATATTTTAACTAAAACTTCCCCCCCTTTATAATTATGCACTTAGATATGGCAAATTGCAACTACTGAAGGCAACTACTAAACACTCTCTATTTTTGTTTTTTGCTCCATTTATTTTTTTTTACAAACAACTGCAATGAAATTAATCATATCTAAAATTTCCTCTCCTCACCAGCATTGTTTTCATTTTTGTTTTCGACCTTACTTTTCCTATAGAATCTAAATGAAAATTAATCGTCAAGGAATATTTAGTCAACCACAAGATGGAGCTATTGTGACATTAACATGCATAAAAGAATTATCACTATTAACAATGTTAATGAATCTGCTAATACTTGCGCAGGAACATTGGTGTCTGTATAGGTAATTATTTCATAATCAATACCTTTTTGCTTATTTTGAAGATCATATTCTGTCCCTTTAACATTTAATTAAAAAAACAATCAAAATCTGGAGACAATTAAGACTAGAAACTAGCTGAAACTAAATATAATTTGAATTTTTAAATTTTTACTATGCTGTTTTCTAGGCTTTTTTTTCTTTTTAAGAAAAAAATTAAAGAAAATTGCACATATCATGTTTTCTGGCCTAGTTATCAGCTCTCTATAATTCAGAAATACTAAAAATAAAATCTGGAAAAACTCTGGGCTATTCATAAATAATGCTCACTATGTAGAACACCTCAACACATTGAGAAGTATGACAAAAAAATTAAACATACATTTAACATAGATTCTTT